AAGTCACATCTCTTTGCTACTTAAAACTTTCCCCTTATGATTCAATTGATCAAACTATAGTTTCAAGTACTGCATTAAAAAGAAAATCTTTAAAAAAAGAAATGAGAGGGAATTTAACTGATAAAACAAGGTTTCTAAGAAAGGATGTTGGTTTTAAGTGGAGTAATTCCCTCAGACAAGAGGAGAAACACCTTCCTCCTCAACCTTGAAGAGGGACGGAGGGTTGGATGCAAATGTTAACAAGCTTGAAGGCTGAAGGGAGCATATTAAAGTAAGTTCCTATCAGGTTCTATTTTCTCAGTGAAGCTGGAATCTGCTGAGAGTGAAGAGCAGGAGTAGAAAAGGGGGCTTAAGAAGTAAAGGGGGCCGGCCCGGTGGTGCACTGGATAAGTGCGCCGCTTGGGAAGCGCGGTGGCGCTCCCGCCCAAGGGTTCGGAATGAAACCATATGGAATAATAATATTTAAGAACTGAGATTGATAAACTTTCAAGATAATTTAGGCCAACCACATCATTTTATCGAAAAGGAACTGAGTCACAGACAGATTAAAATATATACTCAGAGCCACCGAGATGGACAGTGGATGAGTTGGTAGTGTGGTATAAATAAATCATTTCAAAAAGTTACATTAATATTTAACTTTCAAAGTCACATCTCTTTGCTACTTAAAACTTTCCCCTTATGATTCAATTGATCAAACTATAGTGACTTTGACATACTGTTTTTATGTTTCAAGTATTGCATTAAAAAGAAAATCTTTAAAAAAAGAAATGAGAGGGAATTTAACTGATAAAACAAGGTTTCTAAGAAAGGATGTTGGTTTTAAGTGGAGTAATTCCCTCAGACAAGAGGAGAAACACCTTCCTCCTCAACCTTGAAGAGGGACGGAGGGTTGGATGCAAATGTTAATAAGCTTGAAGGCTGAGGGGAGCATATTAAAGTTAGTTCCTATCAGGTTCTATTTTCTCAGTGAAGCTGGAATCTGTTGAGAGTGAAGAGCAGGAGTAGAAAAGGGGGCTTAAGAAGTAAAGAACATCTGGGGTCAGCCCTGAGAGAATGCGGGAGGAGCAGCACTGCCTGCCCAGGCTGGCTGAGACTGTCCCCTGCAGTGCCATGGCAGTGCAGGGACAGCATTTCTCAGACTCCCTTGCAGTTAGGATTTTACATGATTCTGCCCTTCCACCAAGTAAATATATACTGGTATTGTGAAAGTAAGCACTGTGAAGTGGAAGCTATGCAGCTCTTCTGGTTATGAAGGTGGTGGAGGCATTTGGTTCTTCTATAGCGGTCATGACAGAATGGTCTCATGTCTGGTCCCTAGCTTCGTGGGCACTGAGCAGCTGATTGGAGCACAGACAACAAAGTGTTTTCTCTAGAATAGTACTCTGTGTGTTTGTATCTCCTAAGGAAAACTTGTTTCACTGTCTCTTTCAGAAATTCTATAAACTACTCAAGACCCTGGGAGAAACCTCTTACTACTTAAACAAGCGTACATTCTGTTGTCTATAATCAAAACCCTGCTCAATACGGCTAGTGATTAACATGGCATTATCACCACTGATCTCTGTCACTCTCTTCCTTCAATTTCTCCTATCTTTTCCATCATTTTCTCTAACTAGCCTTATAAGGAAGAAGGCTGGCCTTTTCATAAGTTGAATTTGCAGATTATAATCATTGGCTCTACTCAACTGTCCTTCTTTTACATTAACTTCAATTCCAATTCTAGATTCACTATACTTCTAACAAATGTGCATTCTAACATTAATTCTTGGTCATAAATTTAAATAACAGAGAAAGAATATGTACATAGCAAAGAGATGACCAGGCATTTTATCTGTGTTCTAATTAAAAATATAATCTCAATAAATATAAATTAAAATGAGAAATGCTACAAAATTAATATATATATAGTGGTCATATTTACAGAAACAACAGGGAAGAAATAGTACAATTCAAGAGAACCCTTATATGTGTTGGCAGGAAAGAGAGATATGGGAGAAAACTTCCAAGCAGACCTGTAATTGGGCACTCAAGGGTTTGTGTTCCTTAAAAACCAGTGAACACCCATTCCTGAATTCCCTCTATGTCCCAGGAATCAGTCTCTATCAGGAGAAAAGGATACAGAAAGGGAGGCCAGAAATACCAAAGACAAGTATAAAGAACCAACACTGAATTCTTTCTTTTGAGTAATGAGAGGGGAATAGACAACCAGTGTCCACAAGGCAATTGAAGAGAACTTGGAAGAGAAGGAATCTCATAAAAAGGAACAAAGAATCATAAAAGGCTATGTTGGAAACATTGCCAATGCCACAATTCCATGTCACCTGCAACAATATGCAGAAAACAGAGGGTAACTTTTACTAACATTTAAGATTTACAAAGCTTACATGAAGCTATGGCTATTATAAAGGAATTCACTCATGCAATATGTCATAGAGATTGATTTTTAAAATGTGCTCTTCAAAGTCCTAGGGTGTAAGAGCATGCAGGCTTGACAAAGAACAGGGAGTGCACAATGGGCAAAAGTCCTAAGTGCATTTATGCAGAACCTACATGCTGAAAACAGCAAAGATGTTCTGCTAGCTTAGCAAAGAACTCTGAGATCATCTCTTATCCTATTTAACTCCCTTTCCTGTGTTTCTCAAGATGTTTTACGTAGCGAAGTTCTTTACATTCTTTCCATGATTGATTAATGCAGCTGTTTTTTCTCTTGTACTTCCTTGTCTTTACAATAAAAGCTGAGAACAACTCAGGCTTGGGGCTGTGCCTTGTTTCTCCTTCCTAAAAGGAGTTTCCATGGTAGAGTCCCTT